CCCCTCCCCTCTCCTCCCCTCCCCCCTCCCCCTCCACTTTACTTTCCTCCCCTCCCCCCTCCCCCTTCTCCTCCCCCGATCCCACTTTCTGCAACCCATCCCCGCCTTCTCCACCCTCTTTCCCTTCCGTTCCAACCTCCACCCAATTTTCTCTCGTCCTCCTCCTCTCCCCCCACTCACTTCTTCACAGGCTATCGGCGTTTTCTTCCCTGTCCTCATCGCTGGCCTCGGCCCCGTCCGTTCGCTTCTCAGCCAAACGTGCGTGAGTTGCCCGTTCGCTCTCAGCTTACTTGAACTTGCAGATCTTACTTCTCACCCTACATGGAGACACTTGACGAATGAAGTCTGCCACTTCCCCCGCTTCAACGCACTCCCCCCTCCTCCTTTCCCTCCTCCTTCAACCTCGTCCTCTCGCCCTTCCGGACTGCACCACTTGAAGATTTGCACACATTGCTGGATCAGATTGCCTTCTGTTTTTCCAAGAGATGCAATATACGAAACTATACACAATTACACACATAGCAATATTGTACACGTCCTCCTCCTCGCTCATCGCCCCTTCTTTCATTTGCCCCTTCCTCACTCCGTCTTCCCGCCACCCTCCACTATGTCTGTCAAGGGCATATGGTACAGGAGAGTCGTGTCGGCATGCCCTCGACTCCCTTGCGAGGAGCTCGCTGTCTTGGCCTCCTTCACCTCCTCCTTCTTCTCCTTGCGGGGCATCGATAGAGACCTGGACTGCAGCACGGGCCTGAAGACGAGGAGCCACGAGGACGACATGCCGAACACGACCTGAGCACATGCTCATCAACAGTCGGGATAGGAGAACCAGGGACGACAACGCAGAGGAGGGAGAGGAGGGAGAGACAGGGAAGATGAGCGAGAAGCGGACGGGAAGATACGGAGGAGGAGGGGAGGAGAACGAGCTGAAGAAAGGAGGGAGCTGAAGGAGGAGGGGAGGAGAACGAGCTGAGGAGAGGAGGGAGCTTAAGGAGGAGGGGAGGAGAACGAGCTAAGGAGAGGAGGGAGCTGAAGGAGGAGGGGAGGAGAACGAGCCCAGCTGAGGAGAGGGAGCTGAAGGAGGAGGGGAGGAGAACGAGCTGAGGAGAGGAGGGAGCATACCACTGTCCAGAAGTAGCAGATGAAGATGATCTCCTTCTTCCACTGCGCCAGGTCGCCTCCCATGATCGCTCTGTGGAGCAGCGAGACGTACCGCAGAAGGAGCTGCAGCAGGAGCAAGCTCGAGATCACCCACTTCATCCTGAGCATGTGGACGTCAGCTAGATCGTAGCTGGGGTAGAAGCCTCACATGAAGAGCCTGCTTCTGATCTTCCTGTTGATGGCCATGCCGGCCAGTCTCGTAGCATAGAGCTGCGTGCTCGGGTGAGGCAGGAGCGAGCTGAGGAGGGGAAGGCTACCTGCAAGAAGAAGATGGCGCAGAGGTCGTAGAAAGAAACCCCAGCAGGTGGCCGAGCCTACGGTACGTTGACAAGCAGCCCTCGACTCGTCCCCAGCTCTTCACCTGCTCTCACATGGGCTGGAGTAGGTCACTGCCATCGGGTCCCACGCAGATCCCGAGAGGCTGAACTTGTACCTGAGGAGCATCCGATGAGGCTCAAGAGCGTCAGGAGGAGGAAAAGGGCCACCAGGTGACATGGAAGGCGATCGAGGGGACAAGCAGCAGCATTGAAAGCCACATCTGCAGCATGCCTTCAGTCAGTCCTCCGCCCCTCCCCTCCCCTCCCTCCCCTCCTCTCCCTCCCCTCCCGTCTTCCGCCCCCCCCTCTTCTTCCTCCTCTGCTTCTCTTCTTCACCGTCGCTGCAGGAGACAAGTGAACTGTCGACGCATCGAACTGCTTGAGGGCACTACTGAAGGAGCCCTGCAGCTGCCCCCTCATCCACTGGAGCGCGATCACAACCGTCCCTGCTCCCCCATAAGCATTGCCTCGCGACCTCACTCTACACCTGGCCATTGTATCTTGAGCAGCAGGACCAGGAGGATGCAAGTCCATGGCTCAAGAACTCCATCTTTGACAAAGGAGAAGGCTTGACATGCCTCTGCTGCGCTCCCCGGCAGCAATGCCTGAACCTGCGACATACAGAGGCCAAAGGAAAACTTGAACAGCATCAGCAACAAGAAAGCAGCAGGCAACATCGCTCACAGTCCATAGCAGGAAGAGAAACAAAATCCACATCCTCGGAAACCACCTGAATGGAGCAAGACGTAAACGGCAACGATCACAAAGAAGATTCCTGCTTACATCTGATTGAACGGCCCCGAACGAGTCTTGAACACGAGAAGCATCCCTACCATGGCATCTCAGCAGGCACCACTAGCAAATCGAGAGGGATAGAACAAGTAGAACTCCTTCTCTCTTCCTTCTCCTCCCCTGAATCCCACCAACCACCTCCAAACACCGCGCTCCTCCATCTGTTCCGACCTCATCGACCTCCTCTCCTTCTCTCGTGCACCCGCTCTAGCGGAAGTTGGCCATTTTTGAGCTCTTCCTCCTCCTCCTCCTCCTCTTCCTCTTCCTCCTCCTCCTCCTCCTCACCTCTGCCATGCCAGGCTACGGCAGTCGCTGCCCCCGCGACTATCAAGATGTCGCTGAGCAGCCATGGCACCATGGGCTCGTTGCTCTGGTTTTACTCTGGTTTTTACTTTTTAGGAAATAGGGTGTGTGTGGGGATGAGGGGGAGGGCTATGATGTACATGCACAGCTGTCAAGCCCTCGGAGCTTGTCAATGTGTAGAAGGGACGCCGAACAATCAAGGAGGAGAGGGAGGGAGGGAGAAGAGGAGAGAGGAAGAGAGGGAGAAGAGGAGAGAGGGAGGGAGAGAGAAGAGGAGAGAGGGAGGGAGAGAGAAGAGGAGAGAGGGAGGGAGAGAGAAGAGGAGAGAGGGAGAGAGAAGAGGGAGGGAGTAGGGAGGACACCGGGGAGCCTCGGACCCTTATGTGCGAGGGAGGAGATTCGAAGAGGATAAAGGAGCGAGGGATTGGGGTCGGGAGTGGAAGGGAGAGACCGGGGGAGAGGACGTGGGACTAGAGGAAATGATGCAGGAAGATTCTCAGCAGGCTGCCAGTGTGTTCCTTGTGCTGATGAACCAGGATTTAAGGAGAGGAGAGGTCGCTAGCTATGGATATCCGTCCTCTAAGCGACAAGAAGTCCAAGATTGTCGCTGCCAACGCAGCGCTCAAGAAGGAAGGGCTGGAAGACTTTGTGGGGATCGGGATAACTTTCAAGTGACCTCTGCGACCGACTGCCGCCATGTCTGATCGCCATGGCAGGCATGACAAGACATCAAGACAGTTCATCGTCACGCAGGCTGCCGAGTGAGTCCCTTGCTGCCTCTGAGTGCCTTCCGCTCCCGTTCAGCCTGGTCCTGCACAGGCACGGCCCATCCAAGGCGATCTTGTTTCCCGGCGACATCATCCTAGCGGTGGACGGTTTCAGCTTGGAAGGAAGTGACTCCAAGGACGTCAGCAAACTGATTCTGGGTCGGTCACGGTAGAGCCCGCTAGCATGGCATGACGACGGCGCAGGTCTTGAAGGGACAGCGGTGGAGCTGTTGATTCGAAGCATGAAAGACGACGTGGAGAGAGTGGTGAAGCTGTTGAGGGCTCCAGTGACGGTAGGACGAAGGAATTTCGAGACTTCCCTCGTTCACACTCGATCTCGCAGCACTCCCAGTCGTTCTCGCCGACAATCTCCAGAAGCTCTCGAAGCTCTCCCTCTCATTCAAAGATCCCCAAGGTCTGAACCCTCCAGCTGCTACCTCGCTGCCTCCCCCCCCCCCCCCCCCCCTCATCACCACCTTCGCCTCGTCCTCGTCCTCGTCCTCGTCCTCGTCCTCCTGACAAGGGAGGCAGAAGAAGGAGGAGGAGGTCAGGTCCAAAGCTGCCATACTCCCGTCAGGCTTCTCCTCCCCGTCCGCTCCTGTGGAGAGCGTCCCCGAGGCCGAAGAGACCTTGTCGCCTCCTGCCAGCACTCCCACGGTATCGGAGCAGGAGAAACAGAGTAACGCTGACTCCCCCAGCAGGAGTTTCGATTCCCAGCAGCACAACAGGGCAGGGAGGGGGCGGGGGCGAGCGAGGACCAGGCCGTTCCTCACAGAGTCGACATCGCCTTTGAGGGGTCGGCCAGACATGCGAACCATCATGACCAGCACCTTCCTGCTCCCCCGGCCCCCGCCCCCTCGGCAGCGGAGGAGAACAAGGACAACGCCCTCTTGTTCCGCTGCGACTTCGGCTGCGGGTTCTCCGGGGACTACAACACAGTAGCGAGCCACGAGGAGTTGTGCCAGCACCGGACGGGATGGCGAGGTGGCGGGCGCTGCTCCTTGCGATGTTCGTGCTTTCTGATATAACGGCAGCTGAACTAGCGGGCAAGGACAGAGCTCTCCCCTCTCCTCCAGCGCAGCCCATTCTCAAGGTCGCCTCGCCTCCTCCTGCTCTGGTCAAGCCAGACAGCAGAAGGAGCGTACCCGCCCTTGTCCCCCAGCTGGACCAGGGCAGCCTCCGGATCAGCGGCTCCAACATCTTCTCGCATCCTCCTACCAGCCGGTCGCCCGTCCTGCCTCCCCAAGCGATGCATGGCGAGCGAGTCCCGTCCATGAGCGCGAGCATGGACGCGCGGCCGTACATGAGCGCGAGCATGGAGATTGGGATGTAAGAGGAGGAGCGAGGGTGCCGTAGCTCATTCCCTGCCCCAGGTCTCTTCCTCCATCTTCCAGTACAAGAGCTCCGCAGAGCGGAGCTGCCGTCCAGCAGAGGCTCTACGACGTTCCCATCCAGGCCGTGCAGGAGGTCCAGCTCAGGGCACAGGGGCATCACGTGGTGCCGGCACAGGGGCATCACGTGGTGACGAGTGCAAGGTGAGCTGAATGTCAGCTGGGGGAGGATGAAACCCATGCGCGCAGGTCTGCTCCCTCCGACAGTGGCAAGCCCAGCCAGTACTTCGCTGACCGGGTGAACTGGAGGATCCAACGGCAGGAGGAGGAGGAAAGCAAATCGAAGATGCCGCCTCCTGCTGCCCAGCAACCGTCCAGGGAGGAGGTCAAGTACAAGAGCTTGGACGGGAACCATTTGCTCAGGGCCTTGGCTTCCGAAAAGGTTGTGTCCTCCGTGGACCCGGACGGAATCCCCCACTTCCGTCCTCGCGCAGCCCCGCGCGACGTCCCTCCTCGGCCCGAGTCAGCCCTGTCGCACTCCCGTCCCCTCACATACGCGCCCGACGAGCCGGTCGGAGGTGCAGGAGCAGCGAGGCACTTGGCGCACGTCCACTCGGCCCAGCCTCACTTGGTCTCGCACCCGCAGGATGCGGCAGGTAAGCGAGCAGCCCTGCCTCTTCGTGCCGCTTGTGAGCGGTTTGGGAGATGGCTGGCAGGAAGGGAAAGGGAAGGAGGGGGGAAGAGGAAAGAAAGGAGGAAGGAAAGGTGCAGGAAAGAAGGGGGAGAGGGAGGAGGGAAGGAAGAAAGGAGGGAAGCGAGAAAGGGAGGGAGGGAAGGGAGGGAGGGAAGGGAGGGAGGGAAGGGAGGGAGGGAGGGAGAGATGGGGCAGGAGGAGGGCCAGCATGAGTTGAGTTTGAGCTAACTGGTTCCACGTAGGTTTCGAGCCGCACTACATGAGGTTCGGCCAGCTGCCGGTCATTGACCTGAGCAAGAACTTACCCTTCTTCGCACACCCGCATCATGCGCTGCCCTCCATCGTCCAGAGGAAGTGAAGGAGAGGAGAGGACAGTAAGATATCAGTGAAGGAGGATCATCCCAAGAACTCTCTGTCGCTCGTTCGGTCTACTTTGAGGACATCTTATTCACAGGATCTTACATGTAAGCGCATAATCTACATGAATGAAACGTCAGTCCGTCTCAATTCACTTCTTCAGTCTTCGGCTCAGTCTTCGGCTGTAGGACTGGCCGGGCCTCCGGGCCCCGGGCCTTCGCTGCGCCGGCTCCATCCGAAAGCACGTCCATGCACATCTCACTCGCCAGTGCATGGGGGTCAGGAGCTCTCGTTCTGAAGGGAAGGGACGTTGAGCTCCGTCTTGAGCTTTTCCAATCTGATCACATCCAGGTCAGAAAGCAGTCTAGTAAGGCAGGGCAAAGAATGCAGCGCAGGGAGAGAGAAGAGAGAGCGGAGAGAGAGGATAGGAGAGAGAGGAGAGAGGAGAGGGGAGAGACGAAGGAGAGGGGAGGAGAGAAAGAGGCAGTAGACAAAGAAGGGGAAGGAGAGGAAAGGGTGAAGGGAGAGAAAGAGGAGGAGGTAGGGACGAGCAAGGAGAGGAAGGAGAGAAATAGGTAAGAGAGATTGACCTGTCAAGGATGTGGTTCATGCTCTTCACGAGTCCCTTTCTCGCCATGCGAATGTTCTCATCCCCGTTGAGCTCGTCGACAGACAACATCAGCTGATCGCATCCAGCAGAGTGAGAAGGGAGGGCGAGGAACGACAAGAGCAAGGGCAAGGGCAAGAGCAAGAGCAAGAGCAAGAGCAAGAGCAAGAGCAGCAAACAACAATCAAAATTGATCACGCAAATATCTAGGCCCAGAACACTAATGTGCTTCGATGGAGATGACGACGACAAAGTTGATGGCAATATCAACATCACCCATTCATCATTCATTCATCATCATCATTGGTATAACCATCACCAACATCAACATCTACAACCAACCTTCATCCCATCTTCAGCAAGGTAGAGAGCGAGCTTGTGCAGCTTCTGCATGACCTCGACCACCTCCCCATGGAACGAGACGATCCTCTCGATCGCATCAACCCGCTGCCCCATCACCATGATTTTCTTTCCGATCCTATCCACAGGGTGAGGAGATGTCTGCGTCGGCTCAATCTCCTGCCCCACAGGCAACCTGAACCCAACCCTCGTGAGGAAACGGCATCAGGGGAAGCTCCCCCCTCCTTACATGGTCAGGCTCAGCTTCATCCCATCATGGATGCCCATCTTGGTCAGATCTCCATCGGGGAGGAGAGGAGCGATGGGACCTCCGGGCCCCTTGAACCCGATCACCTTCTGCCTCTTTGGATGCACGCCAGTCGCCAGGTACACCTGACTTCAATGGCGACGTCATTCAGTGTGACTCATTCTTTGTCGATCTGATCAGCCCATGACGTTCGAACTAACACAGATAGCTGGCAGATCTTGCACTACATCTACAAGCTAGCTCCTCGTGCACCTGGAGGTAAAACACTCCAGCACCATTGTTTCCCAGCACTGTTCTTACGGTACCCTGGCCTTCTCATCCGCACGACTGAGAGCTGAGGTGATCACCTGATTGTATGCGCTGCTGAGCTTCTCTTCTACTTCTCAGAAGCTAGAGAACCCTCCACCACCTGCTCTCCCTCACCAACCTTCACCCTTCCTGCATCATCTGTAACAGCACTACCAGCAACTCTTGCCCATCATCGACGCCCTATCCTCCTGCTCCTGCTCCTGCTCCTGCTCCTGCTCCTCCTCCTCCTCCTCCTCTCACGTGTGGAACAAGGCGGCTGGCTGCTCCGTGTCGAGGTGGAGGCGGTAGGTGGCGGGGCCGAAGCTGAGCAGAACCTCCTGCATGGCAGGCGGCCAGTGATGTGGTCCTGCAGGGATGGGGTGGGGTGGACATAAGGGGGGGGTGCCTTGAAACGATGGTGAAGGCACCCACAGGGGTACATTTGAGTAGTCAAGTACCCGTACCCAGATCAATTGTCATCAGGGAATGAGATAGGTGGGGTGATCAACTTGTGTTTCCTGGCAGGGGATGGGGTAGGGGTGGAGTCACGGACCTAAAAGGGGGTAGGGTAGGAAGTTGAAGTCTCCAGCTCATCGCCCTCATCCTCATCTGATGACCCCTCATCCCCTCACAATCCCATTTCTGCGCTCGTCCGGAAATAGAGGGTTCGGCGCCATGGCAGGTCTTGGGCGGTCAGCAGCCGCTGCGATGGCGGCACTAGCGCTATCTATGGCGCTTTTGCTGACGACAATAAGAGGAGGAGATGAGTCGACAAGCTCCAGAAGTGTGCTTTACATCTTTGGGGGGGATGGGATGGTGGTAAGCCGCTTCCATGTCCATGGCCTGCCTTTGTCACACTGTACTGCAGAAGCCGTCAGCCAGCGCAGAGCTCGAGTCATATGCAAACATTCTCACGTTTCCCAACTCAAACTCGCATGCTGACTCGTCATCCTCGCCGGCTGCCAAGGTGTGCGATCTCCAGCGCACTCGAGAGGCCACTCTTGAAAGCTTTACCAGCAGGATCATTCGCCCGAAGTCAGCGAGCAGTCGAAGTGGGCGATCAGATACCTGCAGACGGGAAAACTGTTTCAGGGAGAGAAGAGTGGTCATCCTGCCACGTGACTTCATTTCTTGCTACAAAGTTAATGCTGTGCTGAATCATCTGCAGTGGTGTAGATTGCTATTACAAGCACCCTGCTAGCTACTGCGCGCGACGAGAGCAGTCCTTGAAGGGCTCAGGATCAGCATCCACAGCAAAGCCATCAGTACGTGATCTCTGAGCTCTCGAAGTTGTGTGTGACATGGGACAGGTCGGGGGCACCTACGATGCGGACTGCTTCTTCTATCACAGCGTTGACTATTGCATGCGTCTCAAAGGTGGTTGCTTTCGCTTCACGGCACATGATGGCGCTAAGTCTTGTCCTGCTTGCAGCTGAAGAGTCGAAGGTACAACAGCAGTCGCTCAACCACGTGAATGCCCAGGAGAAAAGCTTGAAGAAGGCTGCTCCTCCAACTCCACGACCTCAGACTCGCACCTCGCACTCTGTTCCTGCTCTGTCGCATCCACCTGCCGACGTTCATGTGAAAGTTGCAAAAGTCAAGATGGAGGAGGAGAAGGCAGAGGAGAAGGTCAAGCAGGCCAAGGTGGGAGAGGGCTGACTGCTTACTATGCTGCTTAACAAGTTGTGTCAGGAGGAGCTGCACAAGCTTGCCGCCGCCAAGCGAGCGAGCCATCTCAACAACCTGCACAAGTCTGAGCGAACAACTTTGAAGACGTGGAAACGCGATGCAGAAGCAAGCACGGACCCTGTGATGTCTTGCTTGCTCTCAAGGCATGTAGGCTAGCTGACGGCTATGAACTTGACAGGTGGTCAAGTGGTATCTCGAGCATGGCATCAAGCCGATCGATGCTCTCAGAGGGTCGCGCGCCTCCATCATGTCGCTCAGTCTGAAGCCGAAGCAGCAGGAAGCACAACAGCCAAGTATGTTGCCCCTGCTGAGATCTTGGTGCCACTGAACGAAAATTTCAGGATCAGCTCGAAATCATCTTGCTGACTTCAAAGTTTCAAAGTCTGATTTGAAATCAAGCTCTCAGAATGAGCTCAAGAAGGAGCAATCAATCAAGATGTTGGAGAATGAGGCCCGCGTGGACGGCTTAGCTCTGATTCCGATCAAGTAAGCAGAGGGGAAAGAGAGGGAGGGAAAGTGGTGAGGGAGGGTGAAGGAGGAGAAGGAGCTTTGAGGGGAGGGTGAAGTTGTGAAGGTGCTGTTGTGCTGATCTCTGGTCAGGTTGGTCAAGGATGAGATTCACGACATCGTCCACGAAGGGCTGAAACGTGACGCCAAGTGGGAGTCGACCGAAGGCCTTCGACCGGTAGCGCGTCCTCCTGGCGCTGGCTAGGAGGTCTGACGTCATCATGTGCAGGTCTCGTCAGCCGCTCCAACGTCGAGCCATGGAGCTCAACGAGGGGATGCACCTACCAAGAGAGCTTTGAGCTCCAAGGTCTCCTCCTCCATGCTCTTCGTCTCTCACGTCCGGCAGGAGCAAGAGTCGCTTGAATGGGAGCAGAAGCATGGAATGAAACTCTCCGCTCCTCGTCTTCCTCCTGCGGTAAGTCAAGGCTCGAATGATCGACATTGGCGTCTGAGACAGCATGGCAGAACAAGGTCCTGCTCTCGGCCAAGCGCGAGGATCCTAAGGTTGTGCGCGCGGAGGATGAAGCGAAAGGTCTCGTGTTGGTTCAAGTTGCTCGGGAGCTAACGATGTTGTCAGGCATCGGTATGAAGGGCATCGAAGCCCTCGGGTTCTCAAGTTCTAGTGCGTTCGTGAAGCACCTGGAGCGCGAGGGCATCTGAAGCTCCTCAATGATCTGATCTGTGTTTATATTCTTTTCTCTTGTATCTCTCTCTCGTCATCTTATAATACTTGAAATCAACACTTGTTAAGGTTTTCTAACTCCTCGGCTCTTGTCTATCTTGTCTCGCCTTGGCTGTCCCGTCCGGGTTGGTCTGGTCCGTCTCCGACCATGGCTGAGGTAGGATGACGAGATTTTGATGCCAGTAAGGCAGAAACACAATCTGCAACAGCTCCTGTCTCGTTGTCATCTCTCCTCCTCCTCCTCCTCCTGGGTTGCTCCTCCCTCCTCCCCTTCCTCCCTTTCCTCCCCCCATCCCCACTTCTCCTCTCTTTCGGTGCGAACACCTGTGAGGCCAAGAAGAGGGTGGTTGCAAGGAAGTGAATCGTCGCCTCGGACCATCTGTGATGAGGGTGAGGAGGCGGACGGACTTTATCTGACAGCACGCTCACCTCGACTTGTAGATGCCTCCCTCCCGGTCTATCCTCTTGAGATAGGACGCGACCTGCCCCGTCTGTCATCGTCCTCCCCCCGCCCAGCACGCGAGGACCTGAGGCAGCTGCCAGAAGTCTCGTCGCGCGATCTCGCAGTTGGTGTAGAACCCGAACCCGTTCCACCTGCGAGCGAGTGATGAGAGCACGGACGAGCACGAGGACGGAGTGAGGGAATGTGTTGGTGGGAGACTAGGGAGTGGAGGAGGGGAGGTCAAGAGAAAGGGAGGGAGGGGAAAAGGGAAGGGAAGGGAAGGGAAGGGAAGGGAAGGGAAGGGAAGGGAAGGGAAGGGAAGGGAAGGGAAGGGAAGGGAAGGGAAGGGAAGGGAAGGGAATGAAAGGAAAAAGGGAAGGGAGGGAAAGGAAAAAGGGAAGGGAAGGGAAGGGAAGGGAGCATCGGTCTACTCACTTGCCCTTGAACCATTCGGACACGATGCCCTCCGATCTTCGATGCGCCTCGTGCAGCTCCCACAAGTCCTGGATGAAGTCTTCCTTCTCCGTCATGGTCGCTATGAAGCCGTACTTGTAGTCGTTGATCCTCATGAACTCGAAGGGATCCACCCACAACCTAGTCAGCATGCGCCACCATGAGCGAGGGGAGGCGGCAGCCGGCAGGGTACTCACCTGCCCAGGATGAAGGAGTCGGAGTCGAGCCTCCAGTAGTAGTCGAAGTGCTGCATGGCAGGATGTTCGTACAGCTCGATAGCATGGAACCGGATCATGTTGCGAAACCCCAGGGAGAATCCCTTGTACCACCGGGGTACCTGCTGCAAGTCCAGGAACCTTGGGACCTGCAGGTTCACTTTGTGGAAACTGATGTTGGACTGGGACATTTGGCGGATCATGTTGAACTGAGCAGTCCCGAAGTTCTCATGGAAGATAAGCACCTGCATGCTATGCTGTTAGCTCCTCCCTTTCTCCTCTCTCCCTTCATGCTCCCCTCCCCAACCCCCATCCTCCTCCCCCTCCATTTGCGCGACCGACCGGATACTTGAACTCATTGTTGAAGTTGAGATCAAGAAACTTGAGGGACCACAGAAAGTCCTGGAACTCCTGCGCATCTGCACAGCACAGATAGACGATGGCAGCATTCGTCGAGGTGCCCTCCTCCCTCTCCACATGGTTCCTTGGGTTGTAAGGAGGGCTGAATTGCCATTCGCATGTTTGGTTGTACACCCGGTTGCAGTGCGAGTTGAGCTGCTCCCTGAGATCGACGTAGGACTTGGCGTCGTAGGGATCCTCGTACAGCTGCTTGGAAGTCTCGTAAAGCTGCTGCATGAAGGGCCGCTGCAGGTTCTGCGTCGTCTCGAACTTCCACTCGTTGACGTCTTCCTGGAAGTGTAGCAAGTGGTTGTGTGCGGGACTGCGGGCCCTGCTCAGCCTTGTAGCAGAGGAGGACAGAGAGGTTCGAGCTCACCTGGGATACGATGCTGGATCGTACGCAGGAGGTAGCTTCTCTGCACTGCTCGTCAGGGATCGCGAGTCGGGCGGAACAGGGAGGAGGAGGAGTGGGGGAGACGAGGAAGGGACCTTGAATGTGGAACAGGGGGGGAGGAAGAAAGACAAACACCTACCTTCCTTCATCCCATCGTCGTCTCCTCCTCTTGCTCCCCATACAAGCACCGCAAAGAGGAGGAGGCGCGTTACAGCCGCCATTGTCACCTGCCTTCGCCTGCCTCCCACCCTATGGTCCTACGGTCTTATCCCGGCGGTCATAGAGGGGACGAGGCTGATGGAAACCTGTGAAAGGCCTGTGCTCCTGCTCCTGCTCCTTGTGCTGCTCCTTGTGCTGCTCCTTGTGCTGCTGCTGCTGCTGCTCCTCCTCCTCCTCCTCCTCCTCCCGATCCTCCTCCTCCTCCTCCTCCTCCCGATCCTCCTCCTCCTCCTCCTCCTCCCCCTCGTCCTCACCTTCTCATTGCTCTCACTCCCTTCTGCCGCACTCTCGTCGCCCCCCCCACCCCGCGCTTGTCCTCGTCGCACTCCTGCCCGCACCTGGCGGCTGCGCGATAAGAGCATGTTCGAGTTCACGAGGAGCATCTTGTATGAGCTGAGTTGCTACCTGGCCATCTTTGTGCTGTGAGCGAGTGCCGCTCCTCGTACCAGCAGCGCTGATGCTGTCCTAGGTTGTCTCAAGGCTTCTGCTTGTTCCTTCGACACGTGACAGAGGGATGGGTCTTCGGCATGGCTGGCATGCACTACAGGGACCTGCTGCTGGTCTGCTGGTCTGCGCACCTTCCCCAGCCTTCTCGTGTTTGACTCGTGCTCAGTTCTGTCCAGTGTCAGGTATGGCACACCCCTGATGAATGGATCAAGTCGAACATCTCCTACTTTGCTTCTAATTCAGGTTGCCCCGCTCCTGCTCCTGCTCCTGCTCCTGCTCCTGCTCCTGCTCCTGCTCCTGCTCCTGCTCCTGCTCCTGCTCCTGCTCCTGCTCGTCCTTCCCTCCCCTTCCTGGTCACCACTTCCACCCCTCCCCCCTCCCTGATGTGACTGGCGGCAGACTACTACGGGCTAGCCACAGTCTCCTGCTTGTTCAAGTACGCGATCCTGTGGATCTTCGTCGTCCTTCTCACAATGACGATCCCTGATGCTCCTTCCCCACTTCAAGACCTGGAGATCTCCCCCAAGACCAAGAACATTTTCGAGACCAGCCACGTCCCAAAGCGTTCGGAGAGGTCTAGGGTGCTCAAGGAGAGGTTCGAGGGGCTGCAGTCGAGGCTGGGGAGAGACAAGGACAAGGCCAAGACGATCAAGACGGAGTGATGCTGAGGTCGCAGCCAGCACCGTCGTCACATAGCTGTAAATAACATCTTTAAAAGCGACATGTCGCAATGGCACTAACCCCTGATCTTATCCCCTCCCCTGACTCAAGTCTCCTCTCCTTCCTACATGTAGAGAGGAGGAGGGTCATGAAGGGACCTCACGTCTCCCGTGCTCACCCTTACACTTGACTCCGAGCTCTTGGCCATCGACGTGAGAGCTTGTCTGCCCCAACATTAACATCAACATCAACATCAACATCAACATCTACTTCTCCTCTGCCCTCTCTTACCTCGCACTCCCGCCTTCTCTGCTCCGTGCGGAGATCTCCAGCGCACCAGAGCTGTGAGAGGAGGACGGCTTGATCGATGCGGAGTCGGGGAGGGCAGACGCTCTGAACCCTCCTTTCTCCTGCTTCAACCTCGCCAGAATGTTGTAGAGGACTGGCAACTGCCTTGAGTTTGAGTCTTCCCGCATTCCCAATTCCTAGCCTGCAGTCAGCACTCTTGAGATAAGATCTGAAAGTTATGCACCTGCACTAAGAACGTCCTGTTGATCTTCTCGATCGGCTGCCCAGTCTCGGGGACGAGCACCGACAGGGTGTGCTTGTAGTGGTTGTACTCCAGGTACTCCCTGATCAGCTCGTTGATGATGAGGTTCTCGTGCGAGAGAGCGGGTTTCGCCTCCTCCTGCGAGTCTCAAGTCACATCCATGGGGAGGTCAGTAGCACACGAACAGATTCTTCGAGTGCATTGAAGATCTCGGCTCTGATTCTTGCTTGGATATCGCCCAGTGTCCCTCGTGCTGCCAGAGTGTCCCTTAGCGCATCCTTCAATTCTTCCAGGCTGCTCATTCTGTCGTAGTTGGTGGAGCCCAATCAGTTCCTGTAGTGGGCAAGGCACGGAAATCTCATACCTGAATCAGGAGGATGGTGGAAAGAGTTGTTTGCCTCTGCTAGTCTCGTCTCGATCAAGGATGATGGCTGGTTTCAACTTCTCCAAAGGCTCTTGCTGGACCGATCTTCCGCTCTCAGCTCACTCCGAAGTCTACTCCCTATGATGTGCTTTATGTCTTCAATCTTTCCCCTCCCTTCTGCTATCCGTCCTGTTCAACTTGTCTGCACTCTCTGTATTTCTTCTCACTATTGTCTCTTCTTGTCTACTCGTGAAGTCTCTCTGTCCTGCTCTATCTCTGTCCTCTCTATCTCTGTTCCTCTCCTCTCCTCTCCTCTCCTCTCCTCTCCTCTCCTCTCCTCTCCTCTCCTCCCTACCCGCGCATGAGCCCCTCACACTGCTGGCGCCAAACTTATTATACAGGGGAAGGGTGGGGTGGGGTACTATGTCTATACTGGTGGGATACTACGAATTTACTTTCACCGATTTACCAGAATGGGGGTAGTGTGAGATCCCTTAGGGGGTAGGGTCCTTGTAGAACAAACTGAGTATGAAACAAGAAATGCTCGAGGAGAGAGGAAGAGGATGAGAAGGGAGGAAGCAGCAGCAGCAGCAGCAGCAGCAAGTAGCCGTACAGTACCCTCACGCATGCTAGTAAGCAAGAGCAAGGAACAATGCGACTCCTCTCTTCACCCAGTGCTCGGGTGCTGTGTTGGTAGGGACCTCGATGGTCGTCACGAAGTTTGTCGAGTGCCCGGTGGTTGACAGGACGCCTTTCCTCGTCAGGATCTTGTAGCAGGGGCACATGAGCGTCGTCGCAGGATTCGGCTTCGGACGATGCTGGATGGGCAGGAGGAGGATGGGAACGTAGCTGGTGAAAAGCTCCTTTGGTCTAGACTCGATGAGACTGTTCTGAGAGATGTCCCACCTGCATCCCTCCAGGAAGAGTCCCCACACGACGGCGCCGTTCTCAGGCTTCGTGGAGATGCTGGTGTGCTCCACCGTCTGGTTGACGAAGTCCAGGCTGATGGTGTCGATACCGATCTGCTGCTTCCTCGCAAAGTTCTGCAAGATGGCCGTCAGAAAGGCCTGGGGGAAGAAGAAGCCGCTGATCCAGAAGGTGACGGGGATCCCCTCGTCGATCCACAGCTGGATGAAGGAACATCGCTTGTGAAGGTCCTCCTGCCAGAGCGCGAGAGGCTTCATGCTCGGGTACGCCTTCGACTCCCATGCGCCAGGGACCTGGTTGTTGAACAGGGAGGTAGCCAGCGCGTCGAGCTCGGCAGACATCACCACGAGGCCCTTGAGCGCCTTCCTGACGTCGGAGAGCGTCGCCTTCATGGTCACCAGCAGGTTGTTGTAGCGTATGCACTCCTGCTGTAGCACCGTGTTCATCGACTCCTCGTACATGACCGGGTACTGCTTCTGCACGTCGAGCAGCAGCCAGGGGCTGGGGAGCTTGTTCAGCATGTTCTCAGCGATCATGTCTATCGTCTCGTCCCTGCTCATCCCACTCCCCGAGGAGACCCTGGGCTGCAGCGCGAGGACGTTCTCGAAGAGCGCTCGGACCTCGTTCTGCGCGCAAGTGATGTCGGCGTTCTCGTGCAGGCCGAAGGCCTCCGGGCTCGGTTGGAGGGGCCAGGACTGGAGACACTCGAGGTAGTCGGAAAAGGAGGAGGCCTGGGGTTGGCAGTAGCTGGGGTCAGCTGAGAACTGGTAGCCGTCCTGGAGGGCAGCTGGGCAGATGTAGCCGGCGAGGAGCGTGTTCATGGTCCTGCGGTCCCAGTCGTCGGTCACCCTGCCGCCGTAGTTGACGTCGCCGGAGAGCTGAAAGATGACCTTGAAGGGGATCTCCTCGTACTTGTCGAGGAAGATCTGGAGCTGGCCGAGGCAGATGTCTCGGTCCGAGTTGGAGAAGTCGTAGGAGATGTTCCAGCCGAGGGGTCCGAACTTCCTGCGCTCCTGCATCACAGCATGGAACCAGCAGAGGGAGAAGACGAGCTTCTTGAACACGTCCGGCTTCTGGCAGGATTCGAAGAACTCGTCGCTGAAGTTCTGAAACGAGCCCATCATGTTCGCCTTGAGCCCCTTGGGCGGCTCCAACGTCATCTTGACCGCGTTCTGAAGCACAGCCACGGGGAACTGGGGGGAGGGCATGGCAGTGAGCCAGAGCCGGAAGTCAGGGTGCAGAGAGTTGGGGTCAAAGCCGTCGACTATCGCTTCCATCCTCGGCATCCAGCTGACCGCCAGGTGGCAGTTCTGTAGGAGGAGCCAGGAGCCGCTCTTGGTCGAGGCCGCGAGCTTCTTCTCGGCTATGGGGCCCTGGCCCTGTCCCAGGGAGATCGACTCGAGGCGCTCGCTAAAGCCCTTGCTCTGTGCGAAAGAGAGGAGCGCCATGGTCGGGTCTGCCCCTGTGGAGAGGATGAAGATCAACGGGACGGTGGAAAGAGAGTCGTCGAAGGCGAGGGGAAGGTTGAAGGGAGGAGGCTCAATGAACTGGAGGAGGGCGGAAGCAAGTCAGCGCGAGGAAGAAGAAGCAGCAAGCCTTACCTTCTCTCCCATCTCTTCCGTGACGAACCCCATGATGGCGTCCTGTATCTTGTCCTGCCTCAGGCAACGGAGCACGAGGAGCTTCTGGAAGGTGGAGAGGGAGGAGTCCCACTGGCCGGGGAGAGGGTCCTTATAGCACGTGTTGGAGTCGAAGAAAGCCTTCCACTCGGACACCCGGGACGAGAACTCAACGTCAAACTCCGGGAACTTTGACAACTTTGACAAGCCTGAGATGTCGTTCCAGGAGCTGTCCACCAGCCACTCCTTGGCTGGGTTCGCGATGTGCGGCTCGTTGCTGGTGGCCCCTGCCAGCAAGAACCTCAGCTCGGCGGCGTCGATGCGGTTGTCGCCTTGCATGATCTTCATGCAGAGGATGAAGGAGAAGAGGAGCTTGTCCTTCTCGAACAGCCCGCGGCAGATGTTCTTGTAGAGTGAGAAGGTGAAGAACTCGTTGACGTTCCTGCACCTCTCAGCAATCTCCTCTGCTGGCGGGGAGTTCTCAAGGCCGGACTCGAACAGCTGGAGGAACCACTGGAGGGAGTACTGGTACATGGAGTCAACCGCCGCAAGATCCGCCACACAGAAGAAGAGGATGGAGCCTCGGAAGGCCGTCGGCCGGTACTTGCCCCTCGTCTCGTCGATCTCCTTCTCAGTCTTCTCCGCCTCCGCCACCTTCACTGCGATCTCGTCTGATGTCACCTTGGCCTCCCCCAGGATCACGATCAGGTTCTCGTCTGCTAGGATGTCGCCCTCAGACTCCGCGAGCAGCTTTAGGATCTTGTCCTCCAGCTCCTTCTGCGTCTTCCGCATCTCCGCCATGGAGATCACGAGCTGGTTCTTCGCTTCCTGAAGGTCGGGGCGCTCCTTCCCCACCACGATGCCGAGAATCTGATCCTCGAGCCCGGACTGGTTGACGGTGAAGTTGAGGAGGGTGACCTTGACGCAGGTCTCAGGGGAGTAGTGAGGGTTGGGGAGCTTGCTGGTGATGAAGAAGGAAAAGTCCGGGTTGTACTCCAGCGTCTCATCTCCTATCTTGATCATCTCCACACCCCCGAGCATGAAGATCTGCTTCGCCAGGATGGGCTCCAGGGAGGGATCCAGCTCCTCCCCGACATTCTCCAGCAGCACGGGTTTGCCAAAGCGCACGGCGTTGGTGAGGGTGCGGAGGAACTCCTTCTCGGAGAGCTTGATGACCTCCAGGCCCTTGCCCTTCTGCATGTTCTTGATCCACTTGTTCGCCTGCCCTTGCGGGTCGATCATCAGCGACCAGCGGCGAGACTTGCTGAGGATGATGGCGTTCTCGATGGACGACACGTCGGTCGGCAGCCCGCTGATGTTCCATGCTCGGATCTGCACGGGATCGGCGAGCGTGCTGCGCACTCCGGCTCCTGCTGTCAGCTGGATGCCGTACTCCTTGAGCTTTTCCGACCAGAACTTCTCCTGCTCCTCCCTGTACGAGGCAACGAACGCGCCCAGGTACGCGATGCCCCCGGCAGCCACCACCACGTCCCCGATGACGTTGTCCATCATGTGGGAAAACTTCACCACAGTCTCCGACCAGCGAACCTTCTCCCCCCCGAGGCCCCCGAGCAGGCGATCTGCTCTGTCCATCTTGACCCGGCAGTCCTCCGCCTTGTTTGCTAGCTCCTCCTTCTTGTGCATCGACTCCTGGAACTTCTCGTCCAGGTGGGCCAGGCGGTCCATCACCTCCTTCAGCTGTGCCTGCAGCACGTGTAGCTTCCCCTCTACGATCTTCAGCTCCTCCTCCGCTTTGGCCAGCGCGATTCTTTTGGGTTCCACCTGCAGCGCAACCTCGTGGTAGGTGTACATGGCGCGGGTCCACTGGCACATGGCAGTGCAGGCCTTGGAGACGCTGGAGATCTTGTTGGGCTCGAAGTCCGGGTTGACCATGAACGGCTCGATTCTCTTAATCACCTTGTCCGGTATGTGATCCTTGTCGTAGTCAAACATGCTGTCCAGAAGGCCCTTGGCGTCTCCCAGCAGCTTCTTGCCAGGAGGCCAGTAGTCGTCGACCTTCTTGCCTGCCTCTCCGACCTTGGCAGGAGCGATCTGGAACATAATGCAGAGGGACTCGAGGACGAGCTTGACGAGGGCGGGAGGGTTCGAGTACTTGGCGACCTCGCTGATGTCCGAGAGCTTCAGGTTCTTCAGGACCGCCACCGCCTCGTCGAGGGCTGGCAGAGCCTCCGCCAGCCCGGCCTCAGCCGAGTCTTTGATCTCCTTGCACTCGGCCGCTTTCTTGGCAGCCGCTGCCTCCTCCACCTCCACCACGGCCTTGGTCTCCGCAGCACTGATCTTGTCCTTCTCGATCGTGACCATGAGCTCTTCGGTTTCCTGCGTCGTCTTCTCCAGGATGGGACGGAGCTCAATCAGGTCCTGCTTCATCGTCTCGACGTCCTTCTCCGTCGATATCAACTTGTCCAGCCCGACCGAGAGCCTCCTCTTCGCCGTCCCGATCTCCTCCCTCTTCTCCTTCAGCACCTTCTTGAAGGTGGTCAGGAGCTCCAGGTAGGAGCTGGGAGTAACATAGTTGTATCTCCTCATCTCCTCCGCGTATCGATGCGACGCCTCCTCGACCCCCTGGTGAATGTCCCGGCAGATGGATATGATCCCATCCTTGACCTCCTGCGACGGGAACTCGATCTCCGCAAACGATTCGCTCGCGACTCCCCGCAGCGCCTCCGCCGGCCACTCGGTGAACCAGTCGATGGTGCAGCAGGTGACGAGGCTGGGGAACTGCCGCAGTCTGTTCCTGAAGGAGTTGCCGACGGGCGAGAAGGCGAGGACGAGGTGGAGGTTGGCCTGTATGCGGACTAAGAACCTTTCGTACATGTTCTGCTTCGTGAGGGGAATGCCTTCGGCCTGGCAGATGGATCGGATGGACATCATGATCTGATCCTGATCCGCCATGTCGAAGATGTTGGGGACTTCTCCTGAGTTGAGGATGTTGTTGAGGTCCTGAGGGAGGGATGAGAACAGGCGAGGAGGGATGTAGAAGGGAGGAGGAGGAGAGGAGGAGAGGAAGGACTAGGGGGTCAAGGAGGAGGAGAGGAACAGAGGAGGAGGAGGAGGAGGAGGAGGAGGAGGAGGAGGAGGAGCAAGAGGTACCTCTAAGAATGATTCCATCACTATCTGAGTGTCTGTGAAGAGGAAGACCGTTGGCTTTCCGTCCTTTCCAGCCCTTAGCAAAATCTTCTTGATGTCCTCCCTCCACTCGTTCTTCCCGTAGCCCTTGGCGATCTCGATCTGAGTGCAGTCCATGCTCGCGCAGAAGGCTGCGACTCGCTGGAGAACACCGTGAGAACCAGCGAGAGCGAGAGCGAGAGCGAGAGCGAGAGCGAGAGCGAGAGCGAGAGCGAGGGCAAGGGCAAGGGCAAGGGCAAGGGCAAGGGCAAGGGCAAGGGCAAGGGCAAGGGCAAGGGCAAGGGCAAGGGCAAGGGCAAGGGCAAGGGCAAGGGCAAGAGTATCGTCGTCATGATCCTCTCTTACAGTTAAGCTCTGCCTGCCGCTTCCTCCCACTCCCAACAGCAGAGCGTTGCTGCGAGGCTGACGAAGAATCCTTGAGATCCTTGACACGTGCTCGATGGCATCGAGAAAGAGAACCTGTACTTATGTGAGGAAGAGAGCTAAAGACAACATGTGCGAGAGACGAGGAGGTGTAGAGGGAGTAATAGAAGGAGGAGGAGGAGGAGGAGGAGGAGGAGGAGGAGGAGGAGGAGGAGATGATGATGATGATGATGATGAAATACGACTGAGATAGAGATAATTTTTCCGTCAAATTCCCGGAAGAGGAGAGAATAATTTCAGTCAAGTTCCCATCCTTCTCACCAGCTTCATGGGCTTGTTGGTCAACACGTTGAACTCTTCCAGATATCCTTCCATCGTTCTCCTCAGCAGCGCGAGGTCCTGAACTTCGACGTACATCCTTGGATCAGCTCCAGGAACCATGTAGTCTCCTGCAGGGAAGAAGTGAGCAGACGCAAGCAATGGAGAGGAGACGGAAATAAGCAGGGGAGGGCAAAGCAACAAGGACAGGACAGGACAGGACAGGACAGGACAGGACAGGACAGGACAGGACAGGACAGGACAGGACAGGACAGGACAGGACAGGACAGGATAGGATAGGACAAAGTCGTCTCACCCCAGATGCAGCGCTCGCATACTCTGATTTTCGACCAATCTTTTGTGAATGTCGTCTTGACCTGTGGAAGGAGACGGTGAGCAGAGACCGACGAGACACGACAAGTAGAGGAGAGGAGAGGACGGCAAGTAGAAGATCTCCGAAGAATGGAGCAATGGTGGAGGGAGAGGGAGATGTAGAAAGAGAATCTAGATGCGGGGGAGGGAGGAGAAGAGCAAGAGGACGAGCAAGAGGAACTGGGGTGGAGACAGGAGGAGGAGGAGGAGGTGGTGGTGGGTGGGGGGATGGAGGAGGAGGGGAGGAGAAAGAAAGCAATGATGAGGAAGGAGGAGAATTTAGATAGAAAGGGGGGAGGAGGGGGCGGAGCAGGAGAGGCTGACCAAGTCAACGACGAGGTCGTCGAACCATTCTCTGTCCGGGGTGTCGGTCAGGCGATCCCTGAGGATACGAGTGCACTCATGGACCCAAAGGCGGATAACCATCCCCTCGTCCTCCCCGATCTTCTTGCTATCTGCCATCATGATCCCCTGAAAAATCTTGGCCAGGTCCCTCAGGTTGAAGGTGTAGTGCGACTTGGCGGGGGTGGGCAGCAGCGACTTGAGGCAGTTGTTGTAGAGGTCGAGCGAAGCCTCGCAGATCGGGTCCAGGAGGGCCTTCATTTTGGGCGGAAAGAAGGTCTCCAGGTGGGCAGCAAAGATGGTTCGGAAGATAAGACGCAAACTGTCGTCGTTCATGTCGGGGAAGGAAACATGGTTGAAGTGCCTGAGGAACCTGTTGGTCACGGGTTGGCGCCCGCCTCCCGGGGGACCCATGGCTCCTACGAACATGACGTCGATGATCTGGCAGAACTGATGAGTCTTCCTGTCATACCAGCCGCCATGGTCCATCCACTGCCGCAGGAGCTCGATGGGGGGCTGGGCGAAGTACTGCTCCCTCAGAGGCATGTTGGTATCGTCGACAAAGATGGTGAACTTCTTCCCTGCGGGAGGGCCGAACACTCCCTTCCTCCGCTTGTCAAACTTGCCGTCCAAGATGTCCTGCGTCTGGTTGGCGGTGGTCTGAGCGGAGAAGGTGACGAAGATGGGGCTGTAGACCGAAGGGTCCATCCCCTTCATCAGCTTCTGCTTTACCACCAGCGTCTTGCCGGTGCCCGTGGGGCCGATGCAGAGGACGTGCTTCATCTGAGAGCAGATGTGCTCGATCATGAACGCGTAGCTGACGGACTCGGGGGTCTGAACGATGAGCTCGGAGAAGGACTTCCTGGGGTCTATGGGAGCCTGCTCAATAGTCTCCATCCATCCCTTCCACTTGCACTGCTGGGTGTCGTAGGCGTAGTCGAAGACGGTCTTCTTGGCTGGGAAGTTCTTCTTTCCCCTCATCCACTGGTCAAACTTGAGCTTGCTCGGCGCGTCCAGGGCCCCTCCGATGCCCCAGATGATGGAGAAGAGGAAGATCGGCTCGATGTTGGTCTTGAGAGCTTCCAGCCTCTCAGGGTCCACCGCCTGCCCCTCCATCACGTTGTACTCCTTGAGGAAGCCGTCGAGCACGTTGAGCACCGAACGCCACAGGTTGGGCTCGACCGTCTTGACGAAGCTGCTCAGGTTCCTTCGATGGAAGTCCAGCGCCTCGTCCAGCATCTGGTCGAACAGGGTCTTGAGCTGCTTCTCCATCGGCCTGACGGCCTCGGGGAGGGTCTGGAGCCAGGAGGTCACCATGGCGGCAGTGCCGACGGACGAGCTGGGCTCAACGTAGATGATGCCGACGCGGCTGACGGTAGCGGGGGAGGCTACGGAGAGGTCCTCGACCTCGAACACCATCCTCATCCATGACGTCATGGTGATGATCTCCCCGCTGACCAGGCACAGCTTCTTGTTCTCGTCGAGCACGGTGTTCATCGACTCGATCCAGAGCGCGTCAACCGGCCCGTCGAAGACAACCCACTTCTGCTTCTCGCTGGTGTCGTAGACGGCCTCCCTGAAGAGCTTGCATAGGATGCCGTCCGACCACTCGTGAGTAGCCTCGTCGAAGCTGCCGTAGAGCTGACCCATGGTGATGGACTTGGGGTTCATGATCAGCTGCCTGACCTCGTAGTACTCGTCCTGATTCTTCTTGAGCATCGTCAGTGCCTTGGCCAGCATGTTCTTGCAGCAAGTCTTTCCTCCTCCGGTGGGCCCGACAGTCATGAGTCCGTGGCGGAGGACGGTGACGTCGTAGAACTGGATTGCCTTGGTCATGAAGTTAGGAACACACTGCAGGCCCATCTCAGCTGTAGTCAACTTCATCTGCTCCATCAACGAGCCGTAGTCGGGATCCGGCAGCTTCACGCCGGGGAAGAGATCCGAGATGATACCGCTGAAGAGCACGATATCGTCCGTCAGGAACTTGGGCAGGTTCGAGTCCTTGAGCGCGCGGAGCATAAGGATGCCCTCGTCTGCGTCCGGCTGGCTGCGTTTGTTGAGCCCGGCGGCGGAGATGACAGTGTTGACTGCTCGCATGCCGAAGTCATAGTGGTCCTGGGAGGAGAGCTGCTCTGAAGAGAGCTTGAAGCAATTCACCATCTTCTCCGCCAGGTTCCTCGGGTCCTGGAAGCCGAAGGAGAAGAGGCGGATCTCCCCGATGAGAGCGTAGTTGGGGACCATGCAGGCGACTGGGCGGAAGAGAACCTTGAGGTTGTCGGGCAGCTCGGTCCTCCCCGCGTAGCCCGGGTTCATGGTGATGAAGGAAGCGTTCTCCGGGTTCAGCGAGATCTCCACCCCCTCGAACACGAACCGCTCCAGCTTGTTGACGATGGCCTGGTTGATGGTGAGCAGCTGCTGGGCGATGACGGAGAGCACTTCGATGTTGATCCTGTTGAACTCGTCGAAGCAGGCCCATGCCCCGGACATGGCCAGCCCCTTGAAGAACTTCCCCACCATGATGTAGTCCATCCCCTCCTGGCAGTTGAACACGATGCACTGCTTCGCCAGCGCCTTGGCGAGGTCCTTGGTCGTCTCCGTCTTCCCGGTCCCTGCTGGCCCTGCCGGAGCCCCGCCGAGTGCCATGCCGAGGGCCCCGGTAAGGGTGAGGTAGATCCTGTCGGTGAGGGGAGTGACGACGAGCCTCATGCTGTTCCCCAGGTACTCGCAGCCGTAGCGGAACCTGTTCTCCACCTGCACCACGAAGCTCCCAAAGTCGCCGCTGAATCCCTCCGAGCTCTTCTCCCAGTAGTACCTCAGCTGGGCGGACCACTCGAAGTCTCTGGTGGACTGGACGCCAACCTTGTGCAGGTTCTCCACGACGTCTCTGCCATGGACATCGAGGGTCACGAGGGCGCCGAGGGAGACCCTCTGCATCTTGCTCAGATCAGTCCTGACGAGCTTCGTCACGTCCAGGAGCTGCTGATGGCACTGCTCGTGGTACTCCTTCAGCTGTAGCTTCTTGATCGCCTCCTCCGTCTCCCTCGTCCAGTAGATCTGGTCGCACGCCAGGATGATCTGGCCCGGCCACTTGAGGACCCACACCGGGCGGCTCTCCTTGGCATAGTCCTCCACCGAGTATCCTACCTGCGTGTTGATGGACATGCGCATCATCCTCTCGACGTCGGTCAGCCAGAACTCCACGTTCCCCTCAGGGTACACCTTCCCGTCCCACACGACGTTCTCTCCCTCCCCCGACCACATGGACGTCATGGCCAGGTCCTCCTCGAACGTGACTCGGTCCACGGCCTCGAAGCACTTGCGCAGGTGTGGCTGGACTGCCCGCGGGTCTTTAGTCTGTGACAGGATCTCGAGCAGCTCCTCATTGCTGAGGAAGTAGAAGCGAGCGAACGCCTGCCTTTTGGTCTCGAGGTAGTCCGACAGACCCTTCTGTACCTGCTCGAGCGTGAGGTAGGCCTGCATGAAAATCCCGAGGAGGTCAGGCGTGTCGGTGAAGCGAAGGGCGTTGGGGTCATCGGCTGCCATCTTCATGTACTTTCTCCACTGCCGGTCGCAGGCCTTGAACTTCTGACCCTCCGACGGCAGCTGCTTCATGATGTCGTCAGAGCTGAAGATTGGCTCTAGGTACATCCAATTCCTGCCACCAGAGGTCAAGCTCTGTCAGAGGAGGAAGGAGGAAGGAGGAAGGAGGAAGGAGGAAGGAGGAAGGAGGAAGGAGGAAGAAGGAGGAAGAGCAAATAGCGGACCTCTGGCAGTTGAGCCACTGCTCTAGAATCTCCGACATCATGTTGAGCTTCTGGGCCCAGGCTTCGAGCCTCTCGGCGTGAGGCTTCTTGAAGGGGGAGAAGCTCATGGCCTGCGCCATGACGATGTTGTCATCAAGCATCTGCTGGATATCGTCCGACCCCTTGAGCACGAAGGAGCCGGTCTCGCGGTACGGCATGATCTCGAACTCCACATGCTCCCACTCGTTCTGCATCTTGTTGAGCGCCGCCTCGATCGAGTACTCCTTGGCCGCCGTCTCGCAGATCTTGACGATCTTCTCCTGCTGGGCATGCAGGTCGAGGGCGATCACGTCCTGCAGGTTCTTCAGCGTCTTTCCCAGCTTCAGCTCGAATCCCAGCTCTGCTGACATCTGCTCCCAGTGACGATCCTTGAGCCCGGGGTTGCGCAGGGAGGCGATGACGGGCATGAGCGGCTTGAACTCGTCGATGTCAGCCCGGATCTCGTCAGCGATATTCTGACACTCGGGGTAGTCGGCAAGAGCCTTGCTGGCCTTGAGCAGGTTTCTCCAGGTCTCCTGGATCTCCTGGTCCATGGTCTCGGGCTGCAGGGAGGTGAAGTCGTCCACCAGCCACGACTGCTTCCACGTCCTCCAGTCGTCCGTTGAGATCCACAGCTGCGTGTAGGGCTCGAACTGTTTGCCCATCCTGTGCACCCGCTCGTAGTTGGTCGGCTCGAGGCCGAAGAGGACTTCTCGCTGATTGAAGACCTTGGACAACTCCGTGTACTCCTTGAGAGTCTGCGCCTTGGCCCGGACGTCAGGGGCGATGGTATCGATGTTACTGAGGGAGTTGTGTTGGTGGTAGGTCTCGATGATCGCCTCCATCTGGTCGAGCTTGTCCACGAACGCCTCCTGCTCAGCGATCTGCTCGTTCTTGAACGCATCTCTCTTCTCCTCCATCTTCTGGCTGGCGTCGCCGATCGTCTGCTCCAGCGTCTTTGGCCAGGCGTACGCCGACCACTTGTCGCTGAACTGCTCGTCACTGAGCTGGAAGGAGAAGTTCTCGAGGACTTCGAACTGTGAGAGCATGTCGACTAGAACCATGTGGATCTCTGCCGTCTTTTTAGGGATCTCTTTGATGTACTCCTCCATCTCAACGATCTGCTCGACGCTCTCCGGATGCAGGAGCAACTTCTTGTGGATGTCAGTGAACTTGGAGCCGATGTTCTTGCTCAGCTCCGACGCCTCCACCGCACAAGTCAGTGCAAGAAGAACGTTTACAGTCATGAGACGAAGAGGAAGACAATGGGAGAAAAGAGTTTTCGGGAGGAAGAGAGAGGAGGAGGAGGAGGAGGAGGAGGAAGAGAGAGTAACACTGGGATGATTGGTTTACCTTCTGCGCAATGAGGGAAAGAATCATTCTGACGAGCAGGTCGAACTTGGTCTGCAGCTGCTGCTTGACGTTCTGACAGTCCACCTGGAAGATACCGATCCTGATGGAGGGAGGGATGCTCTCTGTAATCCGAGCCTTCTCGTCATTGAGTCGTCTGACCTCGTCCTTGTCCTCCTGCAGCGACAAACCCTTCTCCTCGTGCGAGCGAACGTACTCGCTCAGGTCCATGTTGAGGAACTCGAGGTACTCGTCGTACAGCCGGAGGTACTCAGTGAGGGGACTGCAGACCTTGTGCAGCTGCTCCCTCATCAGCTCGATCCTCCTCACCATCTGGTCTTCCTCGGGCCCGATCGAGTAGAGACACATGAGTCGACCAAGGAAGAGCTTCTTGAGGACGTAGGAGTCGGCGCGGGGGATGTCGGAGACTGCAACAAGGGCTTCGATGAAGAGATCGACTGGCTCTCGCTCAAAGTCAGCTGGGCTGGTGGTGTAGACGAACATCCCGTCCTCGAACTTGAGCTCGACGAGGAAGAACGGGTCTCTCTCCCGCAGGTGCTCTTCCTGCTGGTTGTGCCTGATGGTCACGGAGTCGGTGGACAGTACTTGCACGTCCATGTCCGTCAGATCCGAGAGGAACTTGGTGTAGGCAGAGGCGCTCTCTTCCACCAGCACTCGAAGGCTCTGCTCCATGACATACCTCACCTGCTCACAACGTCAGTCTACCCAAGCACGATTCCAGCAGGCTTCGCTCACCTGGCGCAGAAGGATGGGGAGGGGGCTCTCTTCGAACTTCTTCTTGTCGTTGACCTCCAGGTCCAGCTCGTTCTTGAGCCCGTCCAGCTGCGTCGAGATGCCGATGCGGATCCCGTCGATCCAGTTCCGCTTGAGGGTCTGCACGACATACTTGACCGTGTCGGTCTGGATGCGCTTGAACTCGGTGAGGCTAACGCTGGACTTGAACTCAGTGACCAGCAGCTGCAGCTCCAACACCTTGCTGCACTCCGATCGCACGTTGCACAGGGCGTGCACGACCTCCTTGAACGAGAGCAGGGTCTTCTCCTGGAACTCTCTCAACGCGTTTGCGAAGCTGTACGGCTCCACCACGATGGTTCCAGTCTGCGGGGCCGGTGCCTTGGGCGTGTTGATGTCCAGGCAGGTCAGGTCGAGGAGGGAGAAATCCTTCTGGTCCTTCTTGTCTTGCAGGACGGACTTGAGGACGATCTGATTTAGAGTCAGCTCATGATCAGTCCTGACCTCGTCCAGCAGCATGCTTGTCATCCCTGCCGGGGAAGTTAGGGACGCAGGTGATTATGTACGAACAGCTGCCTCTTGCCCTTACCTCCTTCTCCAAACTTTGCAAGCGTCTTTGAGTTCAGCGCGGAGCTGGTGATGCGGGAGATTTCCCATGGCGTCTGACAGAGCATATAAGTTTTAGGAGGGGGCTTTCAGACAGAAGAGGAGGGAGGGAGGGAGGGAGGGAGGGAGGGAGGGAGGGAGGGAGGGACTTTGTGGGCTGGGAGAGAGGCAGCAGGGGCGAGAGAGACAGAGAGACAGAGAAAGTTCACACCATCGGAGGCAGGTCTGACGTCGGCATATTCTCGGCGTAGATGTTGTATCGCAAGAACGTCTCCGCTCGCTCCCGCTCCCTCAGCGCCTTGTGCAGACTTCTGGCAAAGAGTCGAGGATTCTCGTCGAGCAGGAGGACGCGATGACGAGGCACTTGAGTGGGATGGTTGTATCCCGCAACTATGACAGTGAACAGCTTGGCCGCCGAGAGCACCAGGCAAGGTACCCATACCCCGCTGCCTTCGATGTCGTAGTCGACGCAGCAGCCCTCTACTCCTTCATCCTCCGCTTGTTTCTTGAGGTTGATGTTGGGGATCACGGGGTACTCAAGGAAGTAGGTAACTGGGATTGACCTCTTGTTGATCAGGGACTCTGGGTCTGTCCAGTCAATGCCGACTTCAAGGCATTCTTCCGTCGTCCACTTGGCGAACTGATAAGACCTCTCGTCTGGATGAAAGTTGGGAGCCATGGTCGCTGGCTGGACTTACTGATGCATGCAGACTGAGGGGGAGAAGCTATGAGCTACTAGTGAGTGCTCTTAGACTTGTTAAACTCTAATACCTTGTTCCAACCACCGACAGACCTTCCTTGGTCAGTTGTCGTTCGACAACGTGACGACTTCTCCTCCTATACTCGATGGTGTTGTCTCCCTTCCCTGTCCTTCTTCTCTCCTGCACCTTCTGCTGCTCTGCTATCTCACTTCTCCTCCTCCTCCCTCCTCCCTCTCTTCCACGAAGCCTCCGCCATAAGCCGTTGCCTGGTGTTGACAAGCCTCCACCCTACCCCAACGACTATTTTTTCATTCTCCACCCATGAATAGTCTGGTTGAAAAGGGGGATATACCCGGTTAATTTTCACCCCCACCCCCTGAATTGAAACGGGAAACCAACAGTGACGAGCTTGAGGTAGCTAGAGGTAATCGAGAACTAGTACAGGCAGGTTACGAAGCAAGCTAGAGAGGAGAGGAGGAGAGAGTAGGAGGGAGAGAGAGAGAGCAGGAGAGAGCAGGAGGAGAGTGAGAGATAGCAGGAGGAGAGAAAGAGGAGGAGAAAGGGGTAGAGAGGAGAGGAGGACGACTGGGTGCGGGAGGAGACAACTGATTTGGTGGTGAGAGTTTCTCGGGCCCTATTCCCAGAGCTACTCAAATGTATGGTATTTCTAGCGAGGTCAACGAACTGGGAGGAGGATTTACCAAGGCACTTTGAGCACTTTTAGAGAGAGTTAAGGCTAGAGTGTGACTTCTTTGCGGTATTCACGGATGACAACGGGTACTGAAGACGGCGGTAGATATCCCAGCTCCTGCAAGCCAATCAGATACCGGAGGGCATCACAGCAGGGATCCGTCACCGTGATCACTAGCGTCAACGACTCGGCAGGGGTCAGGTCGTACACCAGGTTGAGGAGCTTCATGTCCTTGACGTCCCTCCAGTCGGCCAGCGTCTGCCGGCAGCCTTCAGGGGAGGGAGGAGGGAGGAGGGAGGATGGAGGAGGGAGGTGGAGGAAGGAAGCAGGAGGAGGAGGGAGGTGGAGGAAGGACTCACGTTGTTGGACGCAACCAACTCGTCAGGATCTCCGAGCTCATTGTTGCAGATAGAGTCCAACATCACCTGAACGTCAGTCAGCTCCTCCTGACATCATCACCTCCCCTTAGTCATGCTTATCTCCTCCCCCCCGTTGTCTTCTCATTCTCGTTCTTCCCTCTCCCTCCCGCCCTCGTCCCCCCCCCCCCCTCCCCCCTCCTCACCTTCTCCGAGAACTTGTACGTCTCACAGCACACCAGGACGGGGACCTTGTACTGCCTCGCCATCATCGCGACAGACGCCGTTCCGACGCGCGAGATCACGTTGCCGTTGGCGAGCATGGCAGATGCGCCAAGGAACACCTGGAGCGCAACGTCAGTCTGCTGGACGAGCTTCATCGCAACTGACCTTGGTCACTTCCTTCATCACGAAGCTGAGAGAATTGATCATGATGTAAGTGCAAGCGACCCCAGCAGCACTGACTCTGTCCAGCAGCTGCTTCCCCTCCATCTTTCACGACAGTCAGTCGAGGCAGCAGCTACAGAGCGTCCTCACCTTCGGACGTGAGTCGACGACAATCACCCTGAAGGTTGTCCCCTCCTTGTGTGCCCGAAGAATCGCCGCCTCGACTGCCATGGACCGCGCGTAGACGAGGATCACGTCGTTGTTGTTGATCTTAGCGGCAGCATGCTTTGAGATGATTCTGTCAGCAAACACAATCTTCTCAGTGACATATCCTTCCATCTGCTCATGAAGGTGCTGTTTTGCGTCATCCAGTGAGAGAGTCGGGGGAAGGTGCGCAATCTTTCCCTTCAACCATCTGATCGCGTTGCCCATGCCGATGCAGAGCGGTCGGCAGGCAACCAGGTACGAGATCATGGGCTTCAGCCTTGTGTCCAGATGGCGGCTCATGTCGGCTCCTGTCTCGTGGTCCTTGGGAGGGTTGTAGTCCATGATTACCTTGCTGAAGGCCTTCAACATGGCCTCCGTGCGGGCGTTTCCTCCGACAATCAACCAGTCAGCCAACTTCAGACCGAGCTTCAGCACTTCAGGATGGATGTCGTTGTCCGTCCTCTCGGCGAGCTGTGCCGACAACGAAGCCTCCCTCTCGTACTGAGGGAGATGCGAGAACCAGGGGACCTTCTTCTGCATCTCAGTCCTGTGAAGCGCCTGGTTTCTCTTCGCTTTCGCCATGGCCTGAGGCGCAAAGGATCAGCCACACCAGCACAGGACGGCAGGACAGGAGCTTGCCTTGGGGTCATCATGCTGCAGCCTAGTCCCTGCACTTCCCTTGCCGGGCGCGTTGCCCGAGGCTGCATCTCCCTGGGAACAGAAAAGTCAGACGATCAGCAGACCCCCCAGCCTCTCCATCGCGTCCCTCACCGGCTGGGCTGACTTGGCTGGTTGGACGTTGGGGGTTTGATTCTCACTCTTGGCTGGTTTGCTCGCTGGATCCTTCTGCTTCGGAGCCGCCGCTGCCTGCTGGTTGCCGCACAACTCCATGAGCGCGTCAAACGACTAGTCACACGTTGTCAGACCTCGGGCTCTTCCGTTCCGGCCTTGGCGGCTCTCTGCTTCTCCTGGATCTCTCTCCGCTCCGCCTTGCTCAGCTTCTGCTTCTCACCCGCCTTCTGCGCGTTTTGCGCCTCCCACAGCGCCTTTCTTTCAGCCTTGCTCAGCGTTTCGGCCTGTGACGAGCCTCAGCGACAGGAGGAGAAGAACCGCCGCCTAGCACCTGGGACGGGTCGGCGTTCTCAGCAAAGGAGACTCGGAGCGTCTGAACTTGGCTGCCTTGTTTGTCCAGCATGTCGGCGATGCTCTGAATGTCTGAGCCGGGCGCCTGAGGAGTAAAAGTGAGGCTATGGAGGGTAGAAATGAATAAATGCAGCATACCGCCATATTCAAACTCTTGCAGCAGAGATCCAGGCTGCACAGTGCTGTTCAGTACAACATAGACAGAAAGCGCTGCAGCAGCATCCCGATGTAATTTCAAACTATCCCTCTCCTCGAGTGTGATTTCTTCGCATCACAGTCTCATACATTGATTTATAATACTGCTGCTCCAGCTTTCTTGAGGTGCAAGGAACAATGGTATGTTCCAGCCCCAAAGTTCTTTGTGACAACATCATCACACTGCATACTTGCGATCACACACATGGATGGAAGAAGAAGCGGGAAAGTGATGTTTGATCGTCTTGGTTTCTCTCTCTAGATGGAGACATACTAGGTTCCTCAACTCCTCCAATCAAATCCTACATGCGAATCCCGCATATCAAACCCAGCCTGTTGTGACGTATGACTCCTTCAAACCCTCTGCACCTCCTCCACACAACCTTGATGGCTCAACTCGTACTCAGCCTGTCGCCATCTCTCTTCCCTGTACATGCTCCAGAACCTTGTCCTCCCTCCCTCTGCCTCCCCCCCTGCATGCTCCCGGTGCTTTCGCTCTCTGCCATCACGAGATGCCACGACGACCATGTTAACTGATCTAATTTTGGATGTTTGTTCTCCAACAGGGCTCATAAATTTCATAAAATTTTCAAATATTATTGAACAATTTCATGATCTTCCGAACTACACATATCAAATAATACATGATTAGTACCCCTGGCGGAAAGAAACATGGTGCGACTCAAAACTCTCGGAGTTTCAAGGGCCTCAAAGTTTCAAAGTTTCAAAGTTTGCGGTTGTCGGGCATGTGCGACAAATCCCGCTAGGGACTGCCCAGGCAACCAGACAGGGGAGGAGGAGGAGGAGGAGGAGGGGAGAGAAGAGTAGGAGGAGGGGAGAGAAGAGTAGGAGGGCAGTGGGAGGATAGGAAGACAGTAGGAGGACAGTAGGAGGACAGTAGGAGGAGCGAGCGATCAGAATACCCCACCACCACCACCACCTCTGCTGCTCCGTTGGACTCCTCTCGACGCCCAAACGGCATGGGAGGTCCGGAATGCTCCGAGGTCCTGGTTCACCAGGTTGTGGAGCGAGTGGCCGAGCTGAACCCTAGCAAGGCAGCAATACTTTGGCTGTCAGGAGACGGTCATCAGGAGGGACACATCATTACGTACGCTCAAGTCAATCGCTATAGTTACGTCCTCTCCTCGCTGCTGGGGGAAGTGCTGGAGCTGGTGAGGTCCTGCTGGGATATGCCGGAGGCCGCCCAGCAGCATGTGGCGATCCTGGTGGACGAGGGGCCGGAGATCGTGATGAGCGAGCTAGCAGTGCTCAAGTGCCGTTCTGTCTTCGTACCCATCGATCCCACGTGGCCTGATGCTCGCATCGCCTACATCCTCCGAGACTCTTCGGCGCGCGTGGCTCTCGTCCTGAGAGCAGCGTGCCGAGTGATCCGAAACAAGCTCGTGTCGGAGGGGATGGACGTGTTCGTGATCGCCGAGAGCTGTGAGCGTGTTGAAGCCTCCGCCAAGAAGGAAGGAGGTAAAACATCCCGAGCCCTCGTGCTAGTCGTTGTCGAGGACGTGCTGGAGGGCTCTGTTGATGGAGGTTGCGATGGCCTGCGGGAGTTCCTAAATGCCGATGGGAAGCAGCGAGCTGAGACTGGACGGGAGAGCTGTGTGGATGGAGACGACATGGAGGTAAGTCACTTGAGAAGCCACATCATCTACACGTCTGGTACGACGGGGGAGCCCAAGGGAGTGGTCTGCGAGCACAGGTGAGACGGCGGGGGAGGTTGAATGAGCTGACGACGGTGAGGGCAGGGGCCTCTTGGCCTACATGCAGAGCAAAGCTCTTGCTCACGAGATCGACTCTAACTCCCGCGTGCTGCTGGCTGCTGCTATCACGTGGGACCCTTCCCTTGGCGACATCTTCTCGACCCTCGCTCAAGCTGCTCTGCTCTGCATCGCCCCCCGCGCGTCGCTCACCACCAGCCTCTTGGACGTGCTTGTGCAGGGTAGAGTGACCCATGTCTGCACTACCCCAGCTCTGTGGGGCCTGCTGGATGGCTCGGTGTCTGCTGCTGACCTTCCCCACCTGAGGGTGCTGGCCCTGGGGGGGGCGGCGCTGACTGCGAGCATCGTAGCCAAGTGGTCCAGAGCCTTGCGTCTGATCAACACGTACGGGGTGACGGAGGCGACGGTTTATCAGACATGGCACGTGTGCGATGGGAGGGAAGAGGATGAGTTCAAGGTTGTGGGCCGACCCTTCAAGGACGTGCTGGTCAAGGTGGAAGGGGATGAAGGGGAAGGAGGAGCCGTCGAGGGGGAGATCTTGGTAGGTGGAGTACAAGTAGCATGTGGGTACCTGAGGCGAGATGAGCTCACCCGTTCCAAGTTCTTCGAGGATGATCAGCAAGTCCGATGGTTCCGCACAGGAGACGTCGGGCGGTGGAGGAGGAGAGGGGGAGGGGGTAAGAACTCGGACCTCGAGCTTGAGGTGCTGGGGAGGATAGACTTCCAGGTGAAGCTGAGGGGGTTCCGGATCGAGCTGCAGGAGATCGAGTCGGTGATTAGCCGCTGCTCCTTCGTGGAAGGGGTGGTGGTGGTGAAAGTCGGCTCTGAGAGCAGCGAGCGGCTAGTCGCGTACCTGAGCGTGAGGGAGAAGAGAGGGGAGGCGGCGAGGAGGATGATGGAGCACGGCGGGGAGGTATGCCTCCGCCTGCTCTGCCTCAAGTACATGCCGCAGTACCACGTTCCTTCTCAGTTCGTCCTCCTGGAGGGAGGCTTGCCCCTCTCTTCTAACGGTAAAGTAGATCGAAACTCTCTCCCTCCTCCTCCCCCACTCTCCGCGCAGGGTGCAAAATCCAGCGGGACGGAAGCAGGGCAACAAGCAGGGGAGGAGAGTCTGCGGACCGAGCTGGAGGAGCTGGTTTCGGAAATCTGGAGTCAGGTGCTGCAGCTGGAGGGGCCGCTGGGCCCGATGACCAACTTCTTCGAGATGGGAGGGAACTCAGTCTCAGCTGTGAGAATGCTGGGGATGTTGGAGCAGGGATTGAGCGGCGTCGAGTTCGCCAGGCTGGTTGGAACCAGCTCCTCCCTCAGCACGCCTGCTGATCGCTCTAGAGTTCGCCTTTGCGGCCTCCACAGGAAGCCAAGGCTGCGGGAGTTCGCCCTCTTCCTTCAGTGGACTTTCATCAACTCCCCGACCCTCAACACGCAGAGCAAGCGCTCCCTGCTGCAGTGGCACGGGGTGGAGGAGGACAGCGGGGGGCTGGAAGGAGCAGAGGAGATGCTGGCGAGGATGGAGGACGAGATGTCAGTTAGAGCTGACGTCCTCAAGCGCGAGGCTGCTGCCCTGGAGCTGGCGGTGGGAGGAAATCAAGAGGAAGTTGTCTCCTCCCTCCTGTCCCTGTGCGCGAGCCCCGACGGAGCGATCACCCGATTCAACAAGGGCTCCTCCCCCCTCATGCGGGCTGTAGCCCGAGGTAACCTCCCTATCGTCCGCCTCCTCCTCTCTGCGGGAGCCTCCCTCTCCCTCGTCAACGGCGCCCACCTGAACGCTGCTCACCTTGCGGCAGCTGGAGGACATGCAGAGATCCTGTCTGAGCTGCTGGACGCAGGGGAGGCGACGGCCACGGGGCAGGAGACTCGGTCGATCGTGAACGCCAGGGACTTGAGCAAGTGGAGCTTGCTACATCATGCTTCCTTCCACGGGCAAGAGGAAGTGACTGCAGCGCTTCTGAGCAGAGGAGTTGAAGTCAATCTGAAGGATCGCTGGGGCAGGACGCCTCTCTCCTACGCTGCCTCCATGGGCCACCCAGGCGTCATGCGGCTGCTCCTCGAGCACGGAGCCGGGCTGCACGAGGGAGGGGAGCGGAACAGGAAGCAGCCGCAGCTTGCCCGGCAGCGGCGCCTGGGAAACAGCTGGTGCCCTGTGCTCTCCCTGGTGGTAGAGAACTACCTGAGCTCGAACGGGAAGGAGGGCGAGTACTCGGCCATCCTCTCCCAGCTGATCGAGCTGAGAGAGCGCCTGCTGATCTCTGTCGACGACCAAGATGTGCAGGGATGGACGGTGACGAGCTGAACTGCTGCCTTGACATGACTGAGCTTGACCCAGGCCCTCCACTTTGCCGCCATGGCGCGACCAGAAAGGAATGAGGGGGGAGAGGGCGGGAAGGAAGGAGAGAAAGAGAATGATAAGAGGGCTAATGAGCTAGAGAAGGTCTCGGGCCAGGGCGTGGACGGTGCTGAGGGTCTACGAACGTCAGGATGTGGTGAGAGGACGTTTGGGGTTGTTGGATACTCCAGGGAGCTGAAGTGATAGAGCAGAGGACAAGGAATGGGAAAAGAAGCTTGAGTTCATCATACGATCATTAACCCAGGTAAGCTACCTGCCTGCCTGCCTGCCTGCCTGCCCTCCCTCCCTGACTGCCTCCCTTCCTCCCTCCTCCCCGCATCTCTCTCAAACTTCGCTGCAGGCGAACGCAGACGTCAACCGAACAACCAAGGATGGAGAAACGCCGATGGATCTCGCCCTGAGAGTTGGTGAGCCAGCTGCTTCCATACTTCCCCTCCCTCCCTTGATCTTCCCCCCCTCCCTCACAATCTTCCTCTTCCTCGTCTTTGTTCCCTATCCCTTCCTCTTCCTCTATCCCCTATCTGGTTCCTTCTCTTCAACTCGTTCCTCTGCATTCCCTCACTGACTATTCCAATCTCAACAGAAAATGACGTTGCTGTCCGTCTCTTAAGACCATTCGTGCCAATGCCGTCAACCACTAAGGCTTCTTCTTCTTCGTCTTCGTCTTCTTCTCCCTCTGCTGCTGCTACCCAGAAACAAATTTCATCTGGACTGAGAGAAACCCATGGGAGCGCAAGGAAAGGAGGGGAGGGGGCGGGTGTGAACGATAGGAGGAACGTGTCTTGGATCGAGCAAGAGAACATCAGGATGGGGGCAACTTTCTTCGTACCCGTTACAAGATAAAATCCTACACGACACACCAGAGCTGAACAGCCTCCATCCATCCATCCATCCATCCATCCATCCATCCCTCCCTCCCTCCCTCCCTCACAG